CCCCCCACTGATGTGCACTTGAAATCTGCCTTCTTTTAAGTTAAGGAAAGTTCCATGCACCACATCAAGAGCACAATGTATGTATGGGTGTGTGTTGATAGCTGCAGTATCTTATATGTTAATTTTATATCCACTCTCTCTTCTTGGAGGAAATATTGTACGCTCACTACAACTTATAACATTTGTCCATTACATGTCTTGTAATGTCTGACAGGACAAAAATTCATTCCCACAGGAGAAAAATACTTTCCTTTAGAAAATGAACTTAGATGTCCCACTCAAGAGATACCCTTGGTAATTTTATGTAGATAGTCATCTTCTTCTGCATTCCAAAGAGTCAACATAACTGCCTACTAATTCCAAAGCATAGCAAGACCTCAATTCTGAACAGTTCATTTCTACTCCATGATCTGCCACTAGAGATCAAGAAAAACAATTCTTCTGCAGATGGAGACTGAACATTTTTTTAATACAAAATGGATTTTGAAAAGTGGGGAAGGTCCCCAAGGTGTGTCGGGGGGAGAGAGATGGAATTGTACCTGCCCCTTTTTCAGTATTTGAGGTTTGGGGATTTTTTTTAAAAAAAATTGAAATAGGGACATAAGTCTATTGGAGGCCTAGTGCACTTATCTGAATGCTTTTTGTTCTTTTCAGCTCAACAAAATGTTGGAAAGAACTTATGGGGAGGACTGCATGCTTGTTTAAAGTGACCCCATATTTGCACCATTTGCTGCTTAAGTTTGACCTGGGGGATTCTGAGGTCTGCAAAAGAGGAGGGGCAAAGGAGACACCAAAGCCTATGGATGACTGGTTTTCCATTTGTACTACAGATGGTATATTATTCAATGAGCCAATGGCATTCATCAGCTATATGCCTTACAGAGGAATGATTAGCCGTACGTCTGTAGTGTTCCAAGTTACTCATTTTTGAGGCTTAATTTGGCTATGAAACCTTTCCCAAGGTTTAGGAAATGTTCTTTTGATAGCCCAGACATGTCAAACTGGAAGTCATCTTGGAGAAAGTAGGCCATCTTGGGAACAAAGGCCCCATGCTGTCCATAGGGCAACCATGATCATATTTCATCTCTGCGATTTTGGAAATAAAAGATCATTAAGGAAGCATGCATTCTGTTGCCCATCCCTATTGGGAATAAGTACTGACTTAAGAAGCTTACATCACTTACGTCGTTTAGGCCCTGCCTGGGATTCCTCCACCTGGTAAACAGAAAGCCTGTTGATGCCTCCACAGATGGTCCCTTTCTCCCCTTTACACTCATTGTTGCACTCTTCCTGCTTTGCAATATTGACCGGCAGCTTGTTTCCACAATAGCATTCTGCTCCATATTCCAAGCCAGCATATTTATAAGCCCTGGACAAAACCAAAAACAAAATTCTTCCAATGTAATCATTGTAACCTACAGCGAAAACAAATATTGAGTGATATTCAACAGGAGAGAAAAAGAGAGAGAGACCTGGGAGTTGAAGGTGGGGGGAGTCAAGGGGGAACATGAACTTTGATTATTTTTAACCTGAATTAAGTTTACTATAGCTTATCAATGTATTGAAAATCCATACTGTTTAGAGAGTTTCTCATTCAAACTATTGTACAGAACCCAGAAAAAAAAACAAAACTTAATTCTGTAACCAGGTTAAATATTTTGTACAAATGCAATAAGAGGAATCAAATATATTTCTCTACCCTCTCTAAATGTGATATGGAGCCTTAGATGATTATAGACCCTGATGAATCTACCTCTTTTGTCATATATTATACAGTATATACATATACATATATATTAGGTGGCCCTTCAAAAAATTATCTGAGCGGCTACTATATTGACTTTAACTTTGAGACCAGGACTATTCTGATCCTGAGCTGTTCCAAAAATAACGTATGTTTCCAGTAAAAAAGAAATCCTGGGATTTGGCATTCAGAAACCCTCTTTTCTGAGTAAGACCCTTACAGATCTGTCCCAAAGTCCTATCTGATGACTTTGCTTTGAGGAGGGTTGCCAACTGTAGTGAGATGCTTGCATCACAACTGCCACTTGAAGAAGGACAATACTTTGTGGGACAGGTGGATAGGCGCACTGATTAAAAGAAAGAGAAAACTTATACAGTGATACCTCTACTTACGAACGCCCCTACTTATGAATTTTTCGAGATACGACCAGCTCCGGCCCCAAAAATTTACCTTGACTTACGAACTCTGCCTCTACTTACGAACGCCCCTACTTATGAATTTTTCGAGATACGACCAGCTCCGGCCCCAAAAATTTACCTTGACTTACGAACTCTGCCTCTACTTACGAACGCC